TGTGAAGAAATGTGGAGAAGTGATAATAAATGAAGATGATATAAATGATTTCCATTCTGCCGGCAATGTCGTAATCAGTAATCAACTAACGAACGCTGAAATCTACAGTATGGTTTTAAATTCAGAAAATATCATTACAAAGAAAGTAACTAAGAGATTCATGAGAATAAAAAGAATTCATCTCACAATTTAGTGTTTTTGGTTTGGTTTCATTTATTTGATTATGACAAGAGCACACGAGGGCTACCTGCCTAAGGGAAGGGATGCCTCCAGACTTTAAGAGAAACTGGCTCGTATACACGTTACACGTGGGGAAAACTATGAAAACTTCCATGCAGCCACCTCATTCGTCGAGATTCGAATTATTATCTTAAAGGATCATTATTATCTTCATTATAAACAACTATTTCACATTTTAATTTCTTAATTTCTACATTTCATGTTACTAAAATTATACTGATGATTTAAAATCCGGAATCGCCGAAGTCCGGATTATTCCAAATGTCGGACTTTGTATTATGGTAGAGTTTTAGTTTAGTGAAACTCTGACATAAATAGGAATTCTAGCTGAAAAGATTTTCTATATCAAGGATTCGCAGCATCTTATCTTTAACAGAAAAATACTTTCTAGTTGGTGGACACCAAATTGCATTACATTACATTTTATATATATAACATATATATATATACATAAATACAAAAAAATTTAATAAGAAATATAATTATTCCAAGAATTTTCGCGCATTATGCCGCAGAAAATTGATCAGTAATAACATAAAGAAATTTAGAACTAATTTTTCACAAGGAACAAGAATTGAAATTTAAATACGTAAAATTAAAAGATCCTATAAACAAAGAATTATAATTATGTAGATGTACAGATAAATTAAAATAAACCATCACAAAAGAAAAATTAAAAACAAAGATAGTAAAAAAGAACATGAAAGAAGATTAATTCAATCAACTTCAATATAACATCCTCAGTGGGTATACTGAAAGCAGTTACAGTCAATTATATATATATAACATTGATTATTTATGACAGCTACTTATTATATTTAACATTAAATAGATTTTATTTTTATCCTACAGATGATTGACATGTTTTTAATTATTTTTCAATGAATTAACACATTCAAAATTAGGCCAACTCAATACCATTTTCCTACAAAAGGTGCAACAATATATTTCAGTTTCATTTCTTTAACTGATAATTTTGAATTTCTGTGGTTAAATTGAAACAGGAAATTCTGTGAACTTCCAACTAATAAAAGGAATTTTTCAGCTTAATGCTTAAAGTAATACAGCAATTATATATGGTAAATATAATAAATAAAAATTATATAAAAAAAAACAAGAGTGATTATTAACAAATAGATGAAAAAAAGCTGTTTATTCACCGTATTCTAAGATTTTTCATTTATCATTATTATTTTAAGATAAAAATGCATGTAACACATCTTAAATTCAACATTCAGTTTAAATTTTTTAATCCAAGTTCAATTAGCACTTTGTTAGTTTGAACAGTAATGCACTTAGAAATTAATGAGTATTTAATGAACTAGAGAACATACATTAATGACTTCCAAAAAAATTCTTAATTTTTGGTTAGACAGCATTGATTGGGTATGACAGACATTTAAGCTGTTGGAATTTTAACTTCCTGATAACTTTTGTTTAAAACTGTGAGAAAAAAAAAAAAAAAAAAACGAAAAAAAAAAAAAAAAAAAAAGAAAAAGAAAGAAAGAAAGAAATCATCAGATCTCATGAAATAACAATGAATCTTTCCATTCTGAAACTACGCTTTGCATTTCAGAATAAATGCTTTTTTAAAAAATGGGATAACAAAAAGAGATTCTCATTTAGGGAAGTTTGAATTGACTCTCTCCCATTTCACTATTTCAAGAAAGAATTTGTTTGATACCTCAAATTAGTAGCAAATAATCATATATATATATATTTATAAAAAATTAGTAAAGGCAGGTTACAGCACAATTAAAATCATGTAATCCAAAATACTGGAAAAAATAAAACATGAACAAAACTAACAAGAAATGTTTCCTCATTTATATTTATTAAATACAACAATAATTTATAATTAACAAACATATAAATAGTATGTATTTATCAAAGATAATAAAGCTTTACTTTGTACACTTTTACAGACTTGAAAATATTTATCATTTAAATTGCACTACTAACACAGATTTGAAAAGGCATGACATTTAAATATTTAGTAATATAAACAGGAATGGAATAGAAAATGTTGAGAATCATTAGATGTAACACTTGAGACAATGATGAGTGATATATTCTCTAATTAGATCAGAGCAAAAGAAACCCAACTTATATTATATTGCTAGATTTAGTTAAAAATAAACTGCCCAGATGGGAAAGTGGTTAATAACTCTGACTGTTATGCTAACGCCTGGGTTTGAATCCTAGAGAAAGCATGGATGTAAATTGTCTGCCTGTCCTTCCATACAAGGTATTGGTGGCTGCCTGTTAGGCATCTTTAAAATAAAATGACCATACCTTTTGACCTCAGTCGAGGCCAAAGCCCAGTATGACTAGTGCCCGCAATTAAAAAAAAAAAAGTTTTAAATATTGATAGCCACCTACATAAAATAACTAAACAATTTTTAAAAAGCTATAGTATAATGAAACAAAGTATAATTAAGTAATAAATTAAGCAAATTTTAAATGCAACAAAAAATATTAAAAACATATTATAACAAATGAAAATACTGTTACAATGTCAATAATTTTTATATAAGACAATAAGCAAAAAAAAAATTACATATTGTTGTACTAGGTTATAATGTCAAAAGATACTAATTTTTAAGTTAAGGTACCATCATAATGAAATAGAACTTCCAGCAGAACACAGAACATGGAAGGAAAGTAACAAGTATGCATAAAAATACAGGGCCAGATTTAGACTTGATAAAGCCCTAAACTATTTGAGATATGGGGCCCTTTATATGTCTGTTATACTATATTTTAATTCTATATTTATACTATATTTTAATATTTTGTCTGTGTTAAAAAAGTTAATCCCTATGATTAAAATTAATGCAAGTTGCATTTATCACATTTTTACCTATCATTCTGGAATTTAATTCAAATATAGCCCAGTATTTGATATAATAGTAAAACCACTGGATGAATATACATTGGAAGAACTTTTTATTCATTAAATGATTGGAAAATACTGTACAGATTTATAATTAAAAAAAAAAAAATCAACAGGTTTGTAGGAGTTTTTTTTTTTTTTTTTTTTTTTTTTTGTTTTTTTTTTTTTTTTTTTTTTTTTTTTTTTTTTCCCTTTTCCATTTTAACTAAGATTACCCTTTTAAATGATATAAATATTTTAGATTTCCATTTCACTTTTTAACTCATTCTTATTGATTATCTTTTCCACACTTCCCCATTATCCAAATGGATAATAAATCAACAAACTTTTGTTTAAAAATCTCAGAATTTAATAATAGCTAATTTCAAACATCTACCAAATTACTAAAATATTCTACTGGAACATATTACACAAACAAACATAAAGCTTCTATGTTAAAGTAATAATGCGCCTCTAAAAAATTTCTGAACTATTATTTACTTGAAAGCCTCATAAAAAAAGTATTCTAGAACATATAAATATAGCCTGGCTGGCTTGAGAGTTAAAATATAACTTGTAATAAACTGTCTAAATTAACATACAGATTCTGTAATGCTAAAATAAAATATAATAACAAAACATAATATAAAACTTTCTACCTTGTAATTGTTGGAAATCCCATTAAACAGAAATAGCTGGCAACTAATTTTTTTTTTTTTTTTTTTTTTTTTTTTTGTTTTTTTTTTTTTTTTTTTTTTTTTTTTTTTTTTTTTTTTTTTTTTTTTTTTTTTTTTTTTTTTTTTTTTTTTTTAAGGGACACACAAATATATGATAAAGTTAAATTTAATTCGTGCTTTTGTGGGATCTTTCCTTGATATATTTAAGTTTAAAATGTGTTAAAATCTTCTTTCTCACTAAATAAAACCCCCAAAAATATTACAGTATTTATGTTCTTAAAATTTTATATTTTAAATGATGTAAGTTAATATATTGTTCGCAATGCAAAACAATTTTAGGAAATGCAAACAAAATTCAATAATGAAACAAGTTATGCAAGGTTATATTATAAACAAGGAACAAATAATGAAACAAGTTTTATATTTATAATAAAATTATACTCTTTTTAAAAGAAAATCTTTCTGGTTTCCTATCGGGAAATAATTTGAACATCCTAAAATTAGTAAAGAAATAAAGTGCAACGTAATTTATGAAAATTATTTATCCTATTATTATTTGAGAATTTATTTGGCTAAGCATATGAAACAAGCAGATTTTACAATTGTAAGCAGTAAAATATTACATAGTAATAATTTTATTTTCTATAAAATAATTTAAAATATTTTACTGCTTATATAACTGATACCTATTGCCATATCTCCCTTGAAAACAAAATTTAGATTAGAGAGGATGATATACGTAAGCTTAAAACTGTTTTCCTTTTACATTGGACATAATTTCATTAATGTTATTTAAAGATTAACCATCAAGATATCCAATTTCTTTAAGGAAAAAACACTGTAATCAAATTATCTTCTGTTAATTAAACCAGTACATGTGAAATTTATTAATAAATTATTTATACATATACATACTTTTAAGGGTGTTTAAAGAAACTGTTATTTAGATCATCTAAGTTAACATATATTTACTCATATATAAGAGGAATATAAATCATGCAAGGGGTAAACAATTATAGCAGGAAAAAAGATATTCATATTCAAAATATTTTAAAACTTTAATGTAATATTCTTGATTAACATTCTTTATCGGCTCAGAAAATATTCGGTGCTTTCACATTTTCAACAATTCGTATGCTCATTCATGACAGTAGATTTTAAGTCATAAAAAAGGGTTCACCTTAAATATAATGGAAATATGCACTTACCAATTCCAATACCAACAACTACTCGTCCAGATATTAGCATTGCAATGTTATGGGCAAAACCCATTAACAATGATCCAAGCGTAAAAACAATACTAGCTAAAATTATTACTATTTTTCGGCCGTACCTGTCAGCGATTTTCCCCGCGCACAAACAAATCAGCCATGCAGTGATAACGGTAACGCTGACCACTACTCCTTGCATAGTATTATCTAATTTAAAATGATCTCTCAATAAAATCATCGCACCCGATACAACCCCAGTATCATAGCCAAAAAGTAAACCCCCTACAGCTGACAGCACAGCAACGATGTAAACAAAGCCATGCACCTTATCCTTTTGCTTGCCAAGAACCAAACTATCTTCATTAGTATCTGATAATGCATCCATTTTGAAAATTCAATAATAAAAATACTTAATGATTGTTTTTACTCTAAGGAAATTGTTAGAGAACAGAAAGAAAATCAAAACAGTACGCATAACAGACACTAAAAGGTACGGCACGACTATGTTTACAATTTTCCTCTGAAAACATATTTATGTTTCCATTTGCCCGCCAGAGGGCTCTTAAGGCGTAGAAAGAATCTATAATGTTATCACTTCACCGAAAATCTCTCATGAAGCTGTTTGCGAAATTTTCCGCTAGGGAAAATACGATATGCAAGGCCCTATGTGTCTGTACTTTGTCGAGATGGATGTCCTAGAACTATTTATAATCCAAGGTGTGTTCTTCTATACACCTTGCTTGCAATTTACTTTCGATTCCTTTTTTTTTAAAGAGTTTTTCAGAGATTTTCTGACAAAAGTAAGATGATGGAATCCTTAAAAAATACTTTAGAGACAATTCTTAAAGAGCTTTCTCAGGAGCACACGTAAAACCTTACGCTTCAAATTAATTATGAATAGAAATAACGTGTTATTCTCTAGGAAAAAATTTTAACTTAAAAAAGCTTTTTCGATAAAAATATACGTTCAAAATGTAGTTGATGGGAAGAGGTTTTTGAGTTTCTCTAAAAAAAATTTTCAGGTTAAATTTTCTTCATTTACAGTCATAAGAATCAACGCTGATTCAGGAACAACTGAATTTCCAATTACAAATAAACTAAAAATTTACTGCTTACAATATTTACTCGTCTCTTACCCTCTGCATTCTCCAAATTAATTTTTTCCTATTCCATTTATTTCATGAAGGATTTCACTTTTATAATATATGTAATACTACTCGTATAACATATATTATAAAAATACATATAATTTCATGTCATACATATAATTTCGTGTCATACGTATTTCGTGTCAATTTATAATTTTCTTTTATTTTTATATTTTATTTCATTTTTAACTGCTCGTTATTTGTCAACCATAGACTAGGTAACTGTTTCACCCCTCGTTTGGCGTAAAGGCTTCAAACAAATTTTCTTTTTAAAAGGGATCTTTAGCATCCAAAAATTCTGAAAGAGTGTCAAAAAATGAAAAAGATATAGCTGTTTTTAGATGGCCGTTAAACACCTATTTGTAAAGGAAAATTCCTTTAATAAAACAAGGAACAGAGTGTGAAAACGAACTTGTAAAACAAAATAGAGGAGTTCTTTCTGACGGTGCCACAGAGTCTAGATTCTTAGCGGGCATGCGCTAGAGGGTGTCATTAGGACCTCAGCATCGATCCTGAAGAAATGCGAGAGGGGTGTTAAAACTCCACAAAAGTTTTATCAAACATAAGCTTTTTTTCGACAGCCAGATTATTTTAGTGTGAAGGTTGGCTTGCTTGGTTTATGTAGTTTCTGGCGCATTACCTATATTACCATGTGCCAAACATATGGTCCATTTTTGTTTTTTGTGTGAAGAAATAAGAAATAAAAGTTCTCAACATTTCCTTCATACAACTACGCAAATAATCTAGAATTCAACATGTGCAAAATTTGACTTAGGTGCATTACGGAACGCCTAAATTTTGGTGATAACCTGCTTAAATGAGATGAGATGCGGACCATTATTTACATATCATGCAGCCTCAATTTTTTTCATTCGTCGACATGGACTCCTTACGGGTCGGAGTACACCCCTAGGGGTCCATGAAAACCGATTTGGAGATCTACGGTCTGCATTTTAATAGAACAATCACATGGTTACACATAATAAATGTTTGTACTTATAAGTTATTTGCAATTGTGTGCTATGATATGGTAGATGCCAAAAATTGCAATATGCAGTTCTGTCATTTACCTCTCGTTTTCTCTCATATGTTCAGGGCCGGATTCAGACTTGATAAGGCCCTAAGCTATTTGAGATATGGGGCCCTTTATAAGCCCAGATATTATATGTCAGCACCAAATAAGATTTTCGGGGGGGAGCTAAGCTATAGCTTGTATAGCTTATACGTAAGTAATGCATTGCATATGTTGACAGCAAAGTGGATAAGATCGAATTTTAGGCCCAAAGATGACAAATTTGAAACCCAGGGTAGCAAATAAATGCTATCTTGCTCAATGAATTTTTTTTCCTTCCTATTTTGAAACCACTTAGCATGTGACAGCTAGGCAGTGTTTAACAGTGCAATAATGGATAAATAAATAATAGCCATATGAAAAAGCCCACCAAATCAGTGCTATAGCTAGAAGTATAAGATAATATAATGCTGAAATTACCTCCAGTGTTACCCTTACGCCCACTATAGCTCCCGGTTTGGAATAATCTATAAATATCGAAATTTTTGAATATTTATTAAAAGGGACAAACTCGTGTACAAAAGAGAACATTTCATATTAAAGTACCCTGAGGACTACATTTTTGTGTATAAAATCTCCATTAAGTACGTTTAATAAAAACTAACAGTGCTCAAAATACCACAATTTTTGTACAGCAACTGAAATAGGAAAACTCACTTTAAAAAATAACATTCCTATTAAAATACAATATAATTTATTTGTTATATTTTCATACATAAAATCTACAAAAATAAGCTTTTACAGAACTGCAAGCGTTTCAGTTTTGAAAGATATGGTTACTGTGTAATAGGATCAACGTTAATCGATAGGTATAGTCAAATTAAATCTGAAAAAATGGTGCGGGGGGCTTTAAAATTATTACCGATTATGAATTATAACATGCATCAATTACAAATAAAAAATCTGATACAATTATAAACTTACATTTAAATTAAATGCACAAGCTTTCAATCTATTAATTAATTACAGCAGGTATTAAAAATCCAAATTACATAATTTGCTGTTCAATTTTTACAATGAAAAGTTTGTTTCACGATTTTGTCACAAACATTAAGCAAAATGCAATACTGTACAGCCTTAGCAATCTTGATAATAAAATAAAAGAAGAAATAAGCAAGAAATTTGGATGAGATTAAACAAGAAAAGGAGGAAAAGCCCCAAGAAAACAGGACATTAGGAAATTAATTTATTATTTACAACAAAGCTGAAAACATTCATAAAAATTACTAGTTGGATATTTTATAAAATTAAATATATTTCAAATCATGTCATTTAAGCATGTTCTATAAAAAAATAAGATAAAGGTTTAAATTATTACAATGTGTATTTCTTGTTTTTAAATGCCTCAATATCTGAATTAAAAGCCCACTAATAAATTTGAAAAAAAATTACAGATCTTAAGTTTTCCCAAATAGTAAAGAGTCTGCGAATATGCTGGAGGATATGTGCCACATAAATTAAACAACATACGTTTTGCACAGTCGAAACCCTTACCAATTTTTAGATTTTTGTTTTCCTGTTGTTATCTAACAATTTGCTGAACGATGATTTATTTCTATGATCTTTATTTTGCCAGAACAGGATTTTATATGTTAAATTAAAACAACATATCTTCAAGCCACCTAAGTATAGTTTCAGAAGTCTCATATCCAGTAATAATTACATATTTGTTGCATGATCCTCAGATACTTTTCAATCCCAGAGAATCAACAATTTTCTGTTTTCAGTATCTGGAACTAATGCTCAAATTTCTGTAGAGTTTTCTCACTGCACACATCAAATCCATCAGTCCTTTTCTAGATGTATTTCACTGCTGAAGCATATTACTGAATACTTTTATAATGACTTTAAACACTTCAGGATGCTGCTTTGTGTCATTGGCTGCTTTAAGTATCATTTATTGTTTCTGTTTCCTCTAATTTATTGTATATAAGTGTCAATTATTTTTCAGTTGCTAACTCAAAACGACTCTGGTAAGAAAGGACTTTCCTACATAACCTTTCACTTGCATTGGTAGCAAAAACTAGTTTCAAACTCCTAAGAAATATTAAGCGAATTATCATTATGTCTGGACAGAACTACAAGGTCTTAAAGAGATTTTAAAATAAAAAATGTATCAAGCTAAAACTTTGAACATAAATACACGACTCATTCTCATAAATCAACCAACCACTTGTGGTGATGTAATGTAAAGAAATAGTAACTTCAAATTTAAAATTTAAAACATAAGTCTTAGTTTAAACTTAGTTTTGGCTAAACAAAAAATTTAATGCAAAGTCGGCTCAAAACTTCCTACTGGCACAACAGCTTAAACATTGAAATTAAATTGCAAAGCCACATAATCTGATCTGAGCTGGCTAACGTAGTAATGTGAACTTCAGAGGCAAAACATACTCTGAATTAAACTCCCAAAACATTCCTTTAAGTACTATCTCTTTTACCTCATTTACATTCTGGTACGGAAATGGAAACGAAAAGTAAAGATAAAAAATATAAAATAACTGGTTAGTGAATATAATAGTAATAACCCTACAACTGATATGCCTTTGCTTTAAAGCAATTTTCGTGTACAGAAATTGTTAACTTTTACATGCTTAATCTGTGATTTTAAAATAATAAATTCCTTGGCTTTTGTGAGAAGTTTTTGCAAGACTACTGCACATACCATTCACTTTTTGGAAATCAATGAAGCCAGCTCTTGTTAGTTATGAAAAGAGCCTTGAACATACAGTTCAGCATGATGAAAAATTACTAATATCTATTCATTGTTTATTAAAGGAAAAGAAAATTTATTTATGATATTTATTATGCAATAGCTGAAAGCATAATCAGGTTTAAAAATAAGGAAATAAATGTATGATTAAAAAATACTATAATCTATTTGAGATACATGCAACAGTTGGTAAAGATACATACAGTGCATAAACTAGATGGCTGTCACAATATCAGTTTATTTCCATATTTAAAAATGAGTTTCTGTGAAATATGCACATTGCAATGTAAGTCTCAATAAAAATTTCTGTGATGTATAATAGATAAAACATAGCATTAAATATCATGTATAAGCAAGTTTAATTTTTATTTTAACTGAAAGACTTAGTACCAAATGCCAAACTCAAATGACTTTATTCAACTTCCAAAATTAATTGCTTTTTAAAGGATCAGAAATAACAGAAATCATTACTTAACATAATGGGTTTTTTTTAACTGTGAGCAGAACTCTAGTTTTACCCATCTGATTCGCAAGTTTGGTAACAATTAATGTTTAGTAGGAATGTATTTCATTTTGTGAA